AATTTTTTTTTCTAACATTTTGATGGTAGTAGGTAGGTGTGTCCGCGCTTGTGTGTAGCATGTCCATGTCCATGTTGGGAGGTTGCTGGGGGTGGGGGTGTGGGGGGGGGTTGTAATGGAGGGCAGAGGTCAATGTTGGTACTTAGATTTATTTATTAGTTTACGTGCGTGAGTGTTTTGCCTGTGTGTAAGCCTGTATGCCACCCGTAGGTCTGACGCCCTCAAAGGTCAGAAGAAGGTATCAGCTAACCGGGGACTGAAGCTACAGATGGTTGTGAGCTGCCATGTCGCTGCTGGGAATGGAACCTGGGTCCCCTGAAAGAACAGAGTTTTCTTAACCACTGATCCAACTCTACTGCCCCCGCCTTTTGAGACGGAGTTTCTTACTGAACCTGGAGTTAACCAACTGTCTACACTGGCTGACCACAGGACTTCACAAATCTTGTCTCAGACCTAGCTTCCTTCGCCCCAAGTCCCGGAAGTACTGACACCTACCACTCACTCCTAGCTTTCTGTGGAATCAGTGTTCAGGTTCCTGTCACTGTAAGGCAGATACTTGATTGACAGGAGCTCCCCCCCCCCCACCGCCTGAGCCATCTCTCCAGCCCGAATTAACAATTTTTTAATTAAAATACTATTGGCAGATAACTGGGGTGGGGGTGAGGTCTTTGTCAGATTTACAATGTTAGCTTAGCACACAGACTTCCAGCCCCAGTATGAGAAAAATGTCTTTAATTTAAAATATCAAATAATATCAACACCTGTTTATCTTAGCACCATGTCTTAGAGTCTGGTCAGATTCTAAGCACAACTGTGGAATGCACTTAAGCAGTGGATTGAAATGGTGGGCTAGCAACAGCCGGAAGCCGTTTTTCAGAATTGTAACTCCAGCCACAGCCACTGCAGCTCTAAGAACCTTCCCAGGCTTCGATGTACCAGGTATTGCGCCGTTGCCATGGGGACAACTTTTGAACCTATCAGTTTAGCATAGGCACGTACTTAGCAACAAGATAATTACATTTATAAAAAGAGCTAGGCAGTGTGAAATAGGAGGCAGAAATAAATAACAAGACACTCAAAAGCTTTCTCCTATTGCTCAGATTTAAGCATGGAGCTACAGCTCAGTGGTCGAGTGATCGCCTACTATGTGAGAGGGCCTGGAGACAAAAAAACAAACAAACAAACAAACAAACCAAAAAAAACCCTTAGGGTGGGCATGAACTTACCTGATGACACGGGCTGCACACCTCTGCATGGTAGGAGAGGCATTTCCTCTCTACCCATTTCAGTGTCTGGCCAAGAGGTTACGGGAAAAGCAGACAGAAGCACACCCTCACATGCCGTGAAGGGCCCAGAGGCTAGTAGGAGGGTGGCTAGAGGAGAAACTGGGCTTTTATACCCTGGAAAAGTGGTGGCATGTTTGATAAAAAACTGTGGTTCCAGGGCAGGAAACGTGGGCAGATGCGCGCGTGCACACACACACACACACACACACACACACACACACACACACACACGAGACCTAGTGGCAGAAGGGGGCTGGCGAGCATGGTTTGATCCCTCAGTACCTCCCAGGCTGCATGGGGGCTCATAGTAACTGGCTTTCCTTTTGCCTGGTAGGGAGAGACATAGACGACACCTTTGTAAATGCTTATCCTGCCGGTAGGCAGAGAGGCAGAAGACAGACGTTTTAAAAACACATACCTGCTTCTACTAAATTGCCTCCAGCTCAAAATAGTCTTTATGCCAAAGTGGGTCTTGGGGGTGGCATTTGAGGGGATCAGAAGGTATGGCAAACTCTAGTTACCAAGTCTTTGAGCAGGTAATTAAAGAAAAAAAGACCCTGTTCCTGTTCTGCTGCAATGCTGCCCTCTGGTGGCCGTGGGTATGAACTTCTCTCGCCAAGGTCCACTTGTCTTTGGCTTCCCATTTTATTACTAATTTTATTTTATTTTATCGCATGACTGCTGAGGCTTAAAGGTTTCCAGTAAGTCCGTGTGCTTACAAGTAGTCCCCATTGCCCTTCAGGAGGGAGGAGCCCCTGCGATGGCATTAGTGGCTTTATGAGGAAACAAACAAACAAACAAAAAGCCTGGGCTAGCATACTTGCCGTGGGTTGCCTCACCAGAAGCCAGAGACAGAGCTAATCTCCAGAGACAGGAGCTAAATGAACCCTGTTCTTTATAAGTTACTGTTACAGCCACAGAAGACAAAGCCAGACAACTACAGCTTACAATATCGGAAGAAAGTAAGACGGCACTCACTGTGAGAGCAGGGATCCAAATAATCTTGGCTGTGCACAATGGGGAAAACCACTTATGTTTTCTAGGTTTTGGGTCTTCTCTGGGGCATGAAGCTAGTAAGAAAATACAAACAAACAAAGAAAGAAACCAAGCAGTTTCTTCACAGCATCAAACAAATTTCCAAAATAGTAAGTTTTAACAGTGCATTATATGTTTCGGACATTGAATGCTAGCTACCAATAACAAAACGCACATCCATTCGCACAAACACATACCTGCTGCACTCTGGTCCTGTTTGCAAATGAGAAACCGAGGCACAGAGAGGCTCAGTAAGTTGCTATAATCGATACATCTGGATGGCGTATTGAAACCCAGGCAACGCAGCCCCAAGGCCCACGCTAAACTTTAACCACTATCCATAACCTGGTGGCAAATCTTTGTGCAGATAACGGCCTGAGCGATTCCAGTACGCCCTGGTGAATATTCTAACAGAGGAAGAGTGAAATTCGTCTCTTTCCCCCAGCAGACCACATCACATGCACAGCCCGTAAACATTCGTGGAGCTTGGTGGGCCACAGAGAACATTCCATTCTCTACCTGCCTGATCCTCTCTGCCCTTTCTAGTGAGAAAGAGCTAGTACCCCTGTGTCCAGACAGAGACCATCTCCATGATCCCAGACACATTTTTAATAGCAAAGAAATATCCAACAGATCTCAAGTGGAAACTGGGAACTCATTCTCCCTGCGTGACCCTTTGTTCTTAGAGGAACCTAGCTACGTGCATCTTTTTCAAATCGTTTTGTTTTTGAGACAAGTCTCACGTTCTCCAGATTGGCCTCAGATCTGAATACAATGGAGGATAAACTTGAACTCCTGCTTCTAATCTCTGAGAGACTACAGGCATGCACCGGCTAGTTTTATGCGTTAACTTTACTGGGCCACCGGTACCCAGCCTGTGACGCAGTTTAAATTTTGGTAGCTGGAGTAAAGTGTGTAGTGTATTGCTTCCTCTAATTGGGTGGCACGTTCTCACTTTAAAATTTGCTTTCTTACATTTGAAGGAAGATTTTGTTTTTTGTTTTTTTTTTTTTTTTTTTTTACTTCATGTGTATAGGCATTTTGCCTTCATGTACATATGTGCACCCCATTGTGCAGTGCCTGTGGTGGCCAGAAGAGGGTACTGAACCCTCAGAACTGGCAGTCAGTTGCCATGTGGGGTCTGGGAATCAAACACAGAGCCTCTTAACACCAAGCCTTCCTTTCGGTCCTTATTTGTGTAGGTATGTGTGTATTTATGCATCCGCAGGCATCTCTATACCCCCCCTATACACAGTAATCGTCCTTTTGGTCCTGACCCTGCACTCTGGCTAGCTCCTTCTGTCTGGAGTACCCTTTCCTCCTCACTCAACAGTAAGCTGTAGAGCATCACCTCCTTGGGGGAGCCATCGGGCTTTGGCAGCTCAGCCTGCCATAACAAAATACCACAGAGCTGCGTGCTCAACAACAGAAACCAGTCTTGGTCCTCAGCTCTGGGAAAGTGGAGTTTGGGAGCTTGGCCCCCACTGATTATGACCTCACCCAGCCTTCACTGACCTGTGCAGGTCCCGCCTTCAAATGTAACCACACTGGGGTTTGCAGTTCTGAGTCCTGAGCACCCCCCAGTCTCCTTCCCGACCCTCTAGCTGCACTTTCTCCCGTCCTCCCCACAAGGGCTTCATTCAGACGGCTTGTGGGGGTTGTTATCTGAGTTCAGGGACTGAGGGCTACCTGGCTGTGGGAAACAGGTTCTGATCATCTCCAAGCCACTTAATTTAGGGCCTAGAACTAAGTAGGCATTCAATTTAAAAGTGCCGATTAAATGCATCTCACACCCTCCTGAACATCCAAATCTAGGTATCAGCTGAGGCCTCAAAGCGCTTTATTCTCCAAACTAACACGTCGTTATCTGCACTGGACCAGCTCCTCCCTGAGCCCACCTTCCTTCTACCAACCACGCCAATGTTGCTTTCACTGCACGTGGGCCAAGCTAAGCACAGACAGGTTTCCTCCTTGCCTGGAGCGCACTCTCCTCCATCCTCCCCTAGCTTGAAGTTTGCACACTCCAAGGACCCCTCTTAGTTTGCCCATTTCTTTCTTTCATGGAAGTACTCTTTGTGGAAGGATCCATATCAGCCTCGGGAGGAGGAAGTGGCCACCTTGGCGGCTAGCAGCTTCAGGAATCTAAGCTGACGGTTTTTCCGCAAGGCAGAGCCACGCTCGCCCCGCTGGAGCTGGGCAGAGCCGCTTCATGTCTTCCCCCTCTGACTCATGATGCTCTTCGTGTTAGGTGTGCGCCTTCCAGCCTCTAACTGTCCTCCTTACCCGCCGGTTTTTAAAAACTAACCTCTCGGCTCCATCAACCGAAAAGCTTTCCACGACGCACAGCGACAGCACGCCCTGCTCGCCTCGCCCCTGCCACCCAGAGCCCTCACCAGAGCCTCCGGGGTCTCTTTGCTCTCGCCGGGACCGGGAAAACCAAGGGCAATTGAGTTGAATGGCGCTGCTAAATCAATTCAGGGACCACAGGGGGCGTCGCCAAAACCCGGCCCCGCCCACTTCCCCGCCCACCCGGAGGACCCGCCCACCGCCGCGTCATGAAACCCGAGGCCCCGCCCCCTACGTCACCATGAACCCCTGAGGCCCCGCCCCCCGTGCCTGCCCCTCCTCCCGCGACGGCGTCGAGGGGCGGGGCTGCGACTGCGCGCTCGCGCGCCCTGCGGCTTCCGCGGCCGCCGCTGGCCGTTAGCGCGGCTTGGGGTGGTTGTCTTGGAGAATCAAGATGGCGACGACGGCGGCGGCGACGACGGCGGCCGCGGTGGTGGCCGAGGAGGACACGGAGCTGCGGGACCTGCTGGTGCAGACGCTGGAGAACAGCGGCGTCCTCAACCGCATCAAGGTGCGGCGGGCGGGCGGGCGCCGATGCGGGGCGGGCGGGCGCCGATGCGGGGCGGGCGGGCGGGCGGGCGGGCGATCACCCTCGCGCCCGTCCCTGTCGCGTAGACGGCGGGCGGGCGGGACGCTGCAGGTTTGCGCGACTGACTCGGGGTCGTGTCTCCCGCGCGCGTGTGTTCCTTTTGCAGGCTGAACTCCGAGCGGCCGTGTTCTTAGCACTGGAAGAACAAGAAAAGGTAGAGGTAAGCGATCGCCCCGCCCCAGACCTGGACGGGACCTCGCCTCCAAACGCCCCACTTCCATTAGGTCAGAAAGCCGTTCAGTGCAAAGTGTGCAGAGGAGAGGGTGCTGGCCCAGGCTAGCTGGAGGTCATTCCGGCGCTAAGGACTGCGCTTTTTGATTTGTTTTGTTTTTAACTGCTGCCCATCCTCTCTACACCGTCGTTTGCATGTCAGGGTGGCCTTATGTGCCACGCTTGGTTCCGGCAGACCGCACTGGTAGCTGGATCTCCCTCCCTCCCGGGACTTGCTCAGTGAGTGACGACCTGCAGGGTTTGCTCTGAGCAAGCTACACCAGTACATGCACTCTGTGGACGTCTTGTTGGTAAGGGGGGGGGGGGTGGAACAATGCAACCTGTCCCCAAATTCTGGCTGGTCGGTTAAAACTCTGGCCATTCGATGACTTTAAAATCGTCTCAAACAAGCAAAAAATATCAGGAAAACCCGTGCGTTTAAATGGTTGCCGTTCTTCCCGCCCCCGTGGACCTGCATGCGTGTCTACTACTCTGTGACTGTCCGGCCTCTTCCTTCCTTGTCTCTATCTGCATCATCCTTTCTATGGGCTCCAGGCTGGTCTAGATCCCACTGTCCACCCCTCAGAGGCCCACATGTCTTTGCTGTCTAGTTATATCGCGACCAGCTTCTGAGCCAGCAGACTGTCTCCTCCTACTGTTCCTGTCTGTATACGCATTGCCAAAGAGAAGTCACTTAACTCCCTGACCCCCTGCAGATGCGGAGTGGTGGCACTAACCCCGGCTGGGTGAAGGTGCCCTCCTGGCTGCCTTCACTTTACCTTCGCTCTGTTCAGGTGGCCCGTCTCCCCCCTCACAGGTAGAGTAGAAGTTGCTAGGTCCTAACTCTGTATCCTGTCAGTGCAGGGAAAGCTTACCTGTGTCCGTGTGGATCTGAACCCCATCTGTCCTGTTTTAGGAGAGGAGGCTCTGTGTAGCCAAATATGATTTGCCTGGTGGTATCTCCCACGTATTGTCATCTCCTCAGTTAGTGACTGTGTCTCTGACTTTTCTCCTGGCTCTTTTGAGCATGAAGCTGTGTAATTGCTCTTTAAATAGTTTTCTTTTCCCTACTCTCTTGACCACCGAGTTTTGAAAGAATGTGTGTGTGTGTGTGTGTGTGTGTGTGTGTGTGTGTGTGTGACCAGCTGCGCCTCGCTCCATTGGAAGTGTGTGTGAATGTAGCAATGCTCCACCCCGGGACTCACCCTTGTTGTGGTCGTAGGCTCCTGCAGCTGAGTGTACTTCAGTTCTCCCTGTATTTGGTCACTGGGGCATCTGTTGGTACTTACGCTGTGGCAGCTCCCCGGTGGTAACCATGGAAACTTGGCACCACTTGGAACTTCGCCACCCTCACATCTTCAGTACACACCTCCCTCCCCTCCTGAGCTCCAGACCTGTATGTATGTCAGACTGTCCTGCACACTGACGCCCCTCGAGGGAGGGGGCTCGAGTGCCTGTCTCACTCGGGCTTTTCCAGAGTGGGCTTCCAACTCTTCACGCTCTGTCGCGCCCTCACCCTTCCCCTCAGGCCTCCATTGTCCCGGGCTGCCCATCTGTAATGCAAACCTGATGCTGTCCATTCCATTCCATTCCATTTTCTTTGGTTGTCATGAACTCTCTAGGCCATGTACTTCTGTTTCATTTTAACAAGATACGGTTGTTTCTGTAAACTCACACTTTAAAATGTCAGATTTGATTAACATTTACAGGATGTGAACTGCACAGCCAGAAAGAGACAATAGCTACTATCCTTTAACTTTTCCTTATCTCTTTGTAAGCTGCTTTCCTCAACATCATCAGAGCCACACTGATGGGAACATGTAGAATGAACGACTTATGGACTTCTTTAAGTCTGGGGTCTTTTATTCAGCATAATGTGGTAGTGTTTGTCATTCCTCCATTTAATCCTGACATGAGGAATTGTGGGCCATCCCATTAGTCGATGGGTGGGCATTGATCATTTGTGTAGTCCTGTATACTCCGATGCTATCTTCGGGTTGTCCTGTTTTTCACTTGTAGAAAAGGCTGCTGTGATGAGCATGTCCAGATCATTGCTGGGGTCTGGAATTTATCTGGAGAAAATGCTTGACAGTAGAATGCTAAGTTTATATGCTACGGGTGTGGGAACCTAAAAACAAACAAACGTCCTCCAAACTGTTTTCCAAAGTATCCCTCCTGCCTTTTTGTATTTCCATCACCAAGATGCGAGTCTGCCCGGGAAAGCCCGTCCTTTGTTGCCTACATTAGCCTCACTCTGAACAGTTACCACAGGCTCCATTTGCAAGAAGTGAGTTTTACAGTACTTGTTCAGATCTGTAATCCAAAAGAATAAGTTGGCCTATGACCACACAAAATCATGTCATATACTACTGATTAATTTGGAATTACAGTGTATACGTTGCAAACGTATCTGAGATGATAAATTTCAAATTGCATATACTTGAAATATAGAGTTAAAGTAATACCACATAGATATTCATAAACAGTTTCAAAAGCAGATAAGTTATAAAATGTTGAAGAAATAGGTGGTGTAGGCGAGTGTAAGAGCTCTTACCTGTCATGTGCAAGGCCTTGAGTCCAGTCCCCAGAAGTGTAAAAAAATGGTTCAAAAAGTTGAGAATAAGTATCTTCCTGTACAGTTTGGCTTCATTACCTTGAAAAGTTATTAAGTAGCACAAAGCAAGGGCTATTCTAAGTAAACAGTTATAAAATGGATTTCACAAAACCATGATGTTTATGAATGGCAACGTATATGTTCTTTATATCTTTGCCAAAATAAGGAAACATGGCTGTTGACACTCAGCTTGGTCTGCTCTCCACTCTGGACAGTGTCCTTTGCACTTTTTATTTGCTCATTTGCTAATAATAAACTTTGGCAATGGGGCAAAGAGAACATTAATGTGTGCTTTTTAGTTATTTTAGAGTAAACACATGACATGTAAAATATGTCTTTTTATTTTTAACAGAACAAAACTCCTTTGGTCAATGAGAGCTTGAAAAAATTTTTAAATACAAAAGATGGTAAGATGTTATTCTTGTGTTTATTTATTGTATCTGCCTCTGAGTTTTAAAATTCTACCGATATTTGGGAGAAAAATCGTCTACCTCTGTGGCTTGTGCTGGCCTCTAACCCTCAGTGACCTTCTTGCACGAGGATGACTTTACACAGGAGTATACCACCATGTCTGGCTTAGTATGGAAAGTGAAACATTGAAGTCCATTTATGAAATCCTACAGTTGCAGATTGTTGATCCTAAATGGCGGGCGGGGAGGGGGGGAGGGGGGATGGGAAGACTGGGATTTTTATACTTAATTGAATTATTCAGAGAAGGAATACGTAATTTTAAAGAACTTAGAAACTTCCCATAGAATGCTTCAGGCCACAAAGAAAACTGAGAATTATTCTGGCTTTGTTGACAGATCTTTTTCTTGGTCTTTACAGGTCGTTTAGTGGCTAGTCTCGTCGCAGAATTTCTTCAGTTTTTTAGCCTTGACTTCACCTTGGCTGTTTTCCATCCTGAAACTAGCACAGTAAGAAAAATGAGTTTGCATTTATGCTGTTTAACGTGAAGCTGCTAAGAAAGGAACGCTTCTGTAGAGTTGATCCTACTAAGATATGATATTACCCTGCAGCTGTCAGGGGAGGCCTTACACGTAGATGTTGTGTATAAAACGGCCAGACTTGATGCAGATACACAGTTAGCCTTTTGACTTTAGAGACGTCTTTAAGTTCCTAAAATGCTCCCTTTCCCACCTGATTTCTTCTGCTATATTTTTCTACGCCTAAATCTTCTTTCCTTTCTAGTTTCAGGGTCTTGAAGGACGGGAGAACTTAGCCCGAGATTTGGGTATCATTGAAGCAGAAGGCACTGTAGGTGGCCCCCTACTGTTAGAAGTGATTCGGCGCTGTCAACAGAAAGAGAAAGGGCCTGCCAGTGCAGAAGTAAGTGTCCAGTGCTGCCCTTTGTATCTGATTTTAGTAACTGGACAGGGTGCGTGCATAATAACTGAGGCTTGTATAAAAATGGGAAGGACTGAGATGGTATGTAACTATTTTAATTACAACGAAGATATGCAGATAGTCCTGTGTACCTGCCTTGGCCATTGGTCCGTCCTCAGAATGTTATGTTTGGGAGCCGGACCAGCTGTTGACCTTGCCACTTCAGCTCTCCACGGCGGCCTCCTTTATAAATGAGGCAGCAGGAAAGTGTGAACGGAAACAAACGCTGTGAGAGTCATTGGTGCTCGTCAAGACCGGGTGGCCCGTAGAAGGTGGCTAAGGGAGTAGTCTGCAGGTGACTGGAATCTGGGTGGCGCATGTGTATTCAAACTAGAGGGCAATCTAGCTAGTGAAGGTATTTGTGAAGAGTGTCTGTCGGCATGGTGATCCTAAATGCTAAAATACTGACGTTCATTGGCGTGATGACGCTTTAGTTTCAGTTTAAACTGATTTTTAGGGTGCACTGGACCTGTCTGATGGACATCCTCCATCAAAGTCACCTGAAGGGAAAACAAGCGCCAACTCCACCCCAAGTAAGGTGAGTCTGCGCGGACAGTGAATCGGGCACTGTAGCAGACACGTGGGGCTCTGCTCTTACCTGGTACCTGTAAATTTCCTTTTGTGACAAATCATTTTAAAGTTCCTAAAGGTAATTTCCCTCTTTTCATTAAGTAGGTGTTTTTGCTTTTGTTTTTTTTTTTTTTTTTTTTAAGTTGCTTCTTGTGTGTCATTGGTAATATTTTGAATTTTGTATCTGAGGACATTGATACTTAGAATATTTTTGTATTGCATTAAGAAGGCTTTCCTTACTTTGCATAAACTCTGAGCTTGAGAGCATGAGGTCCCAGAATATAAAAGGTTGTAGTTGAGTTTGTAGACTTTTAGATGACCAGATTTGGAAGCATGGCGGTATTTAATATTAATGAACTATTTTTGACAAGATTTTTAGGAAAGTGTACTATGGTATGTATGTGTGTGTGTGCGCGCGCATGGTACTAAAGATAATACCTGATTTCAGGAATAGTACATGAAGAAGAAAAACATGGAGTTAATATTTAATAATAGGAGATTTAATAAACAGTGATGGTCTCCCATGGCTGGCTAGAGTATATCTTGATTGGTTCTAGTTGTCCTGTGAAATAATGGGTTGGGTCCCGTCTTAGCCCTCCCAAGCCACTGTCGCGAACTACCACAGACGGTGTGGCTTACAGCAGGAGACGCTGATCTCTCAGATTGAGGCACTGGCAGGTTTGGTGTCCGGTGTATTGTCAGCTGCTGGGACCTTGTACCCACCCTTATGGCTGGGAGGAGAAGAACTCAGTAACCCTGTAGCCCATGCACAGTGCTCCACTCTTGACTTAATGACTCCCCAGGGGCCCCTCAGCTCTCATTACCTTAGGGTTGGGCTTTCAGCATACTGGGGGGGTTCTTAGGAGGCGGCTAGGCCAGCACTGCAGTTCATCACAGGTCAGCATTGTACTCTGTGGCTCTTCCATAGGGACACTGCTGTGTTACCTGTGTTGCTTGATCTTGACAATTTGTTCCTTTTTAAGCTTTGAAAGCCAAAGAAACTTCGTATTTCTAGCCAACAGGGCTACTCTGCTAGTGTGGCTCCCCCTGAGATGGCCAGGCCTTTCCAGATAAGGAGTATTTAAAGATGTTTTCTTTCTCTTGATGCTTATGGAAAGTTGTAACCCTGGTGACAACAAGTCATGAGTAACTTTTATAAATTCCTTTACATGATGAGAAAGAGCCTGTGGAAGAAGCATTTTCCATGACAATGTCAGGTATTAGAAAAAAACAACATTCCAGACATCTCTCAGTACTTGAGGCATTGAGCTGCTTGGAAATGCACTTGCTCATAAATTATTTTTAGGAGTGGTACTGACATTCCCTGTATAGTTTACCCTCAAGAAAAAAAACACAGTAAAATCTGTTAGTAGGTGCTGTACTTTAGTGTTGTGATGATACTGTTCTGAGTGTTTTAAGGACAGTCTCAAAGGCTAGTGTGGGGAGGGGCCTGTGTCTCTCCTGGGTTGGGTGGCTGCCACCTTTCATTTCTTTTCGGAGCAACCCTTGAAATACGTCCTTGTCACTTAACCCTACCCCACCCTGACCCCCATTAGTCCTCACCCGCCTTGTGAGCCCAGAGAGTGAGACTGTGAGGGACCCTGGGAAGTTGTAGCCAAGGCTTAGACTTGGCCTTTAAAAGCCAGTCTTGTGTGGCCTTGAGGAAGGTCGAGTCAGGCTAGGCGGGCCCTGGGCAAGCTGCTTGGGATTCTCTCCATGCCAGTGCGGCACGGAGCTAGAGCGGCAGCCGGAACGCTGCATACGAGGATGAGGCTGATGGGGAGAGCCCTGCTGTAGCTGACCGGGAGCCTGTTGGGAACGTGCCTTCAAAAGCAGCCAAGCGTTAGTTTTTGCATTGACAGACTGCCTAATAGGAGTCTTTACTAGTCTGGTAGTGAGTTAGTTTATTTTTAAAGATTTATATTTTATGGTAAAATGTCATTTTATTCTCATGCTCAGATACCAAGGTATAAAGGACAAGGTAAGAAGAAGACAAGCAGGCAGAAGTCCGGTGACAAGGTAACAGAGCAGAAGAGAGAAGCAGCCTGTGCTGAGGCGGCCTTCACACTCACGGGCCCCTGCCGGCCTGGGTTCCAAGCTTCCTTTAAACATTACTGTCGTCTGTTAGCAGACCATGAGAGCTAGGCATAGCGGCACAGGCCTGCCATCTGAGCCGCTTGAGAGGGTGATGAAGGGCTGCAGTTCAAGACTGGCCCAGGCAATTTAGTGTGATCATGTCTAAAACTAAAAAGTCAATAAATAGGCTGGAGATCTAGTTATCTGGTATACACTGGACGCACAGATGTACACTGGACACACAGATGTACACTGGACGCACAGATGTACACACTGGACGTACAGATGTACACTGGACGCACAGATGTACACTGGACGCACAGATGTACACTGGACGCACAGATGTACACACTGGACGTACAGATGTACACTGGACGCACAGATGTACACTGGACGTACAGATGTACACTGGACGTACAGATGTACACTGGACACACAGATGTACACTGGACGCACAGATGTACACTGGACGCACAGATGTACACTGGACGCACAGATGTACACTGGACACACAGATGTACACTGGACGCACAGATGTACACACTGGACGCACAGATGTACACACTGGACACACAGATGTACACACTGGACGCACAGATGTACACTGGACGCACAGATGTACACTGGACGCACAGATGTACACTGGATGCACAGATGTACACTGGATGCACAGATGTACACACTGGACGCACAGATGTACACAGGACGCACAGGTGTACACTGGACTGGCATGGACTAAGCCCCAGGTTCAGTCGTCAGTAATGAGAAAAGGAAGTAAGTGCAAAGAATTGTGGGATTAAAAAAGAAAGAAAAATCAATTCTCAGAGGTCCATCAGTCCAGTGTGGAGTCTGATGTCTAGACATTTTCCTAAGTTAAAAACTTCAAAAGTAAAGGCTTTTTTAGCTTAGATTTTTCTCTTTTAACTGGCTTTTTAGTTATAGGGATTTCAAAGGCAAACTCTCTTTGTAATCACTGTTCTTCATCCATTGTTCAGTGAAAAGGTGTTCCATTGTCCAGTGCAAACTTTTGGAACATTTGCATAGTGAAGATGCTTTGTTTGAACTCACAGTCTAACTGGAAAGATGGGACACCTAGAGACTATATAAAGATATTAACCTGTGGTTTGTGTTATTAAGATTCATTGAACTGGTTTTTTTTTTTTTTTTTTTAGAATTTTTAAGTTAGATGCATGTTTCATAGTATTGAGTTTTTATAACCTTACTAGTTCTTAGGTCTTTAACTTAAAACATTTGGAGTAAATTAGTATGTAACACCAGCGCACACTGACACAGTCTCACTCTGTGTAATGTGACGAGGCTGTGGTGGGGCCAGACTTTAGCCTTCAAGAGCTCGCTGACTTGAGGGGACTCGAGGATCTGATGGGCCCTTCCTCGTAACGGAGACTGTAAGTCTAGCTCCTTGTGTGTCGCTACTGTGCTCTAGAGTCCAGATGTCTCCTCGGTCATGTGGCAACTCTTTGTCCCTTCTCTCCTGTCTTATTTCTCAGCATTGTGTCTTTCCATCCTTAGCTGGCTCGGCCCTTCCCTCTCCCTTCCTCTGCCTCTTTTGCTTTGCCCCCTGCATGCAGCAAGTTTTCAGTTTCCAGAGCGTTGTTAGCAGCATAATCGAGACTCCTAGTTGCATGTAGTGGTTGGGTTATGCCCACCAGTATGCCAGTGGGAGCCATTGCTGTGGCAGGTGAGTTTTTTTTACGACTGCAGGAGCCTCATCCATGGCATCAATAGATAGGAAGCATGCACAGTATGCGTGTATGATTCGGAGGTCTGGAGCAAAAACAAGGAAGCTCAAGGTGGTGCTTTCCGTTGAGCTCTGGAGCTCTGAAACAGCCTGTGGGCACCTGCTCATTAATTCTGGGAGTACACTTGTGAGTTGTCCTTATGTAGTCTCGGTGTGGCCACAGACTTCTGTAACCTCAGCACTCCAGAGACAGAAGCAGATGACGGTGGCCAGGGCTGTTATACTGAGGCCTGCCTCAAGAAACCAAACAGCATATTTTAAATAAGTGTGTGCTTGTGTGCGTGCATGTGTAAATGTAACCGATGTGTGCAAGGTTATCAGTGAAAGGGCTCTGCTTTTGTTATAAAGAAATAATACATAGAATGGATAGATTCAGAATACAGAGATTAAATGAGGAGGAGTTCTTTAGTGAATTAGATTTTTTTTTTTTTTTTTGCATCTAACTATATAGTGTGTGTTCATATAGTTGAACGTGTACCAAAGTACATGTTAAGTCAGAGAACAACGTAAGAGTGAGCTTTTCTTCCATCATGGTGGGTCCTGGGGATGGAGCTCTGGGTACCAGGCTTGGGCGGATGCTTACCTGCTGAGACATCTCACTGGCTGTAAAGCGTGAGCCTTAGCACCAAGCAGCGCCTGTGATTATATCTTTGTGTTACCGTTTTGTTTCACCAAATAATAACTCAGTTGTCTGAGAAATGAACCTGCGGAACCCCTACTCCTGAGAGGAGTTGGACAACACACTGGACTTTGATGCAGACGGTTGGGGAGGAGGGACTCCGTTGATGGGAAGGGAGGAGGGGGTGACTGTGTTCAAAATACATCGTGTGAAATTCTCGTAAGAATTAACAAAAATGTTCCTTACAATATGATGAAGTCAGGGACTGGGACAGCTAGGTGTAGTGTGTGCCTGTTTCCCACTCTTGAAAGCAGAGGCAGGGGTATTGATAGTTGGGAGCCAGTCTGGGCTGTGTGGTGAGTTCTAGGTCAGCCTCTTCTATGTAGTGCGACCCTCTCTCAGACTCACAGCAGACTTCACCGAAGCTCTGCTCTTCGGATCTGTACCATTTGATGGGAAAAGCAAACCAGGGTGGCTTTGTTTCCTTTCTGGCTGGGCTGGGGCGGGGGTGGGGTGGGGTGGGGTGGGGGGACCTTTAAGGCCTTGGGTTCGTTCGGTGCAGTCACTTTCCTGCTGAAGGACCTTCGGTTCTAGAGTGAGTGCTTTGCATCGTACCACCAACGCCTACATGAGACGTCGCCCTTCATTAGTCTCCAGCCCAGTGTGTATTGAGGCATTTTTACTTTTAGTTCTTAACGTCACATTTCAAGTCATTATTCCTTTTCAGAATTCTTGAATAAATTGAATTTCATGTTCATGTTGGGCATTGGTCACAATCACGCTGTGTGTGCCTTTCAGGATAGGTTTCTTTGTGTCTGTGGCTGTCACCTCAGGGTGTTCTGTATGAGTGTTGTTTACTCTTTATTGGACGGTTGGAAACCGGCACTTACCCAGCCCTCTGGTCCCTACCTCTTGAGCCTCTGGACCTGAAGTTTGGTACTGGCCCTCATACGAGTCTGAGCTGCTAGAGCTGAAGGAACAAGGTGGACACACCTGTGCAGGGGCCAGCTGTTCTGTCCCGTGATGGCTCCCGAGGGCCGTGGGTGGGGAGGAACCCTGGAGGTTACAGATTGGTTGTGGGGGGCAAATTAAACTTTGTAAGTATAGTGCCCGTTTTAATAAAATTTTTTCAATACTTTGTTAGTAAATATTAGAAGTACTAAGAGTAAGCTTCATAAGTAAGTCATGAATCAAAAGCTGCCTTTGGCAGAGTAGAGGAGGAGGAGGCAGAGGGTGATAGAGGCCTGGGCAGGGAAAAGAAATGCTGCAGGAAAAGGCTTGAAACATTTGTAAAACTCTTGTGAACAGTGCATAGTAAGCTTTCATTTTGGAAACACAAATTATATTGTCCTTTTTTTCCCCTTAGTACTGAGAGTTGAGGCCTTTGTGCCAGCAAGTCCTAACTTTGAGCCATACCTAAGCCCTTCCTTGGGTTCTTAAAGACTTTGTAGCAATAATTCAATTTTTGCCTATTAGACAAAGAGTATTTTCCATTGTGAAACCTTTCTTTGATGCTCATTTTCTATTATTTTTTAAATGATTAAAACTGTGATTGTTTTACTGGAAAAACTTATTATCATAATTTACCATACAGTTTGATAATCCTGAGCTCCATCGAAGGGAATGGCTGATGCAGTGCAATTCAGTAAGTCCCTTCACTCTTCTAAAATGACAAAGCTAAGTGTCGTACTATAGGCAGCTATGAGAGAGCTAGGAGTCGTGTCACCAACAGCTGTGACTTTCCTCAGCGCTTGTACCAAAGTTTGTGCAGTCTGAAGGCAGAGCAGAAGGAAAGCGTCCCTCTCGGCTGCAGTTGGTTGGAGCAAGCCTGGGGGTGGCCTTTGCCTTATGACTGCCAGTCTCTCTGCCCGCCCCACACAGGCTCTGCCATCATTTGTGTCTGCGTGGACTCACTCCGGTGTGCTTTAGGAATTGAACTTGAGCACTGCTCACAGCAGAAATTGAAACGGATGTGAATCTAATTTAGGTACATATAAACACACTGTACTTCTGTATTTCACAGTGCCAGAACTTGAAGAAAGTTGTGAGGGGATTTTTTAAAGAACCTTCTTGGAAGTTTCCTACGTTGTTTAAAAGATTAGCATGAATAATTTGCTTTTCCAGACATCTCTTTATGACCATTAGTCTATCACTGTTAATAGCCCATAGACTGCATAGTTCCATCCAAGCCCCTAGAACGATATGCCTTGCCTCTGGAAATTAACCAAGGCCTCGGGTCTAAAACCGTAAGTGTGCACCTGAGTAAGGCGTGCTGTGCTCTGTGCGTGTGGGCACACGGGACAGCCCCAGCGTTGTGCCGTGTGTGTGTGGGTCTACTCCACTGACTCCGCTTCTCGCCTCGCTGCTGGTGAGCTTTGCCCCAGCCTGTTTGTAACTTAATGTGCACACTGGCCTCATTGAATTCTTGATGAAATTCATGTCAGAACACATTCCCTAAGATCACACAGGACTGGCCCAGGACCGGCACTTTCCGGGTTCCTGACTTCAGGCATGACATCACACTCTCCTATAGTTGCAGTCATTGGGAGGCAAGAGCAAGGAGATGGGGGTTCAAGGCCACCCTCAGCTAGTCAGCCACCTCAACGCTACCTGTGCCACATGAATCCATACAGATAACACACCCTGCATGCATGCATGGCCTGAAGATTGCGTGAGCATTTGCGTAGTCTCCGTAATTGTTAGTCACTGCTCTTACTACTGCCATCATTTTTGTTCCTAAAACAGTTAAAACCAGGTGGCCCACACCTTTAATCCTAGCACTCGGGAGGCAGAGGCAGGTGAAGCTCTTGAATTTGAGACCGGCCTGGTCTACAGATTGAGTTCCAGGACAGCCAGGGCTATTACAGGGCTGTCTCAAAAACAAAGGCCAGATACAGACTAAAACTGTGCTGTGGTGGTCAGGGTAAACCACACACTCTGATGTTCATGCTGTGTGTCAGTGGGCAGAAACAAGCTTCTCAGTAGGGATTTTTAGTGTTGGTTTAAGATAGCTAAAGGGTTTGTGTGTCTGCTTGTGGACATTACATGAAGTGTGGGGTTACTAAATAGCCCAGCAAGCCTGAACTAAGGTAATTGTCATAGCCAGCTCTGCTTGTTGGAAATGTGAGCATTCAAAGGCCGTGGCTTTACCTTGAGGCTTTCATTGATGTTGGGTAGAAAACCACTCTCCCTTCTGATGAATAGTGCAATTTAGTTTATTTTTATGACATAGTCTTGTTAACACTTTACCGTTTGAAAGTTGCCCGTGTCAGGGAGCCTAGGAAAGCATAGGAGGCTGCACTGTAGTTCTTGCTGTGGAAGGCCAGGCACAGGGTGCACGCGCACACATACATACATACAACACACACACACACCTATGTTGACGACTGTTATAAAATATCTTAGAAGTTTTATTACCACGGAGACCTCTCCCTTCCTCTTTCTTAGAAGACCAACAGCGAGACCAGTCAGAGCGAGACCAGTGTCTCCTTGTCAGAGCCAAAGAGCAAGAGCAGCCTGCACTCCCTGGCCCATGAGACGAGAGTTGCATCCTTCTTGAGCAGCAGCACTTTGGATGCAAAAGACAAAGGTGCCCTTTGTGCAGAGGAAGATGATGCAGACGGGGATTCTTTCTTTGATGACCCCATTCCTAAGCCAGAAAAAACTTACGGTTGGTGAGTAGACAGCTTTGGATCATCTGACTTGTGATGTAAAAACAAAATTTCTAAAATGCTTTCATTTTATATTTAAAACTAATGATCTGCTAACAACTACATAGTTATTGAATACGTAAGTCTAGTTTTGTGTCAGTAAAACCTAGTGTGTTATAAAATAATGCCAGGATTATTGAAGGCACCGGGTATGAGCCATTTTCACCAGATGAGTCTGTCTGTCAGGTGCTCACCATGTGATAGAAGCTGCTTCAGGGGTTCAGTCTGTGCGTGTGTGGATGCTTGCTAGTATCGGGGAACACCTGGGGGGGGGGTAGAATAAGGCAACAGTATTCCTGGAGTGCTGTCCTGTGGTAGACTCCAGGGAAGAGTTGTCAGCAGAATGGAGGGGGTGGTCAGAGTAGACCCCGATGATGGCAGTGCCTGGGAAGTTAGGAATGCACGAAGTTGTGACGAAACAGCCCTAACAGGTTGGAGGGCTTCTGCAGCTTCCTGAACAGTTGTGCATTTGAGAGGTAATGCTTACTTGTTGATTCTTGTACTGTGTCTTGTGTTTCTGGGAGATGGAGGAGCCTTCTGAAGGCGATCCTAGACAGTGCAGGTGTTGAAGGTCCGCTCGCTCGCTTGGCTGAGAGAGAGAGATAGCAAACAGCTGTGAATTTAGGGGAGCTGGCGCTTTACCTGCAACCTTGTTTACGATTCTGTAACCGTACACGTCGGCCCTGTAGGAATGCTGTATGATTTTCAGTCTGTAAGAGCCCATGTCCAACCTTATGTGCATATTTAAATTGCTCTTTTATGTTTATAGAGTAAAGGGCAAGGTCTGAAATTATCATGTAACTGTCAATTGCTTCCTGTTAGGAGAAGTGAACCTAGGAAGCAAGTGGGAAGTCTGGCCTCGCTCTCCGACATACCCCCCTTAAGGAGTGGTCTCAGCTCCCTGGCAGGAGCCCCTTCATTAACAGATACTGAGAGTAAGTACTTGAGCACCCCAGGTTGTAATGATACCATGTTTGTACTCTAACAAATAAAGCTTGCCTGAAGACCATAGAGGTCTGGAGGTCTGTACAGACAGACAGGAAGTGGTAAGTGATGAGGTGGGAGGGAGAGGGGCTCCGTCTCTTTTCAGCTGGGAAGTTAGCAAGGTAAAGGTGGCTGTGCCTTGCCCCTGGCCTCTGTATCTGACTCCAGGCTTCTATTATTATTATTATTATTACTCTTGCTACATCTTCATTTGTTACAGTATAAGCAAGAAATCACTACACCAGGTTTTTGTTGTTGTTTTTCCACATAAGTATAAAATCATGATCAAAAGTAATTGAGGAAGGAAGGGATTATTTCCGCTCTTCCTGAAAGGAGGGCAGGGCAGGAGCGGAAACGGGCCGTGGAAGAGCACCTTCCTGGCTTACTCCCCGAGGCTTACTCCGTTTGCTCTGTGATGAAACCTATGCAGGTGTAGCTCCGCTCACAGTGAGCTGGGCCCTGCTACACCAATCTTTAATCAAGAAAATGTCCACAGGCTTACCCTACTGGCCAGTCTGGCAGAGGCAGCCCCTCCGTTGATTGTTTAGTCTCCCAAAGGACTGGCTTGTGTCAGGTTGAAAAACAAAATTTAAGCAGTCACATGTGATAGCGATTATTCTCCACCATTTGTGTCCTCCTCTGCTGTGCTATCAAGATAGTGTTAGGAAGCTGACTTTTTAACTGCTTTAGACTCTCCGTAGTTATTCTGTTTTTAAATTTTATACAGAAGTAATACACAATACTTCAAATTTAGTCTTGGTTTTACTCTGGCTGCAGTGACATGTCCCTCTGTGTTTTATCAGCATGCTGATAGATAGCCACGTGATCACTGGGGAAGGTAAATGGCGACGCTACAGCGTACTGCTGGGCTGGGGTGGTTAGTAGGTTAGGCATGTCCAGTAGAGTTTTGAGAGGAGTATTGTCAACCTAAGATGAGTGTTAGGTGCTGCTCCAATTCAAGACAGACATTGTAGCCTGTAAGTCATGCCTCATAAACCCGTAGAATAACTGTAAAGTTTAGAAGAAGTTCTGTGGTAGAGTGATCATCACAGTTACTCTGCCGTCAGGCTTGTGTCTGACCTTTTTATGTGAACAGAGGAGAGGCTGCTCGCAAGGCAGAAGGGTAGCCAGCCCCCTGCACTTCCCAACTCATCCTATCCTCACCCCTGGGAAAGCGTTGCCGCGGCTTTAAAGAGCGTATGTGGACATCACCCTGTCATAGTCAGAGTATGTAACCAGGTGTGCAGAGGGAGCATCAGCAGAACTTCCTAGGGTGCGCCCACTTGATTCACAGTACTGGGTTTTGTGTGCGATTTTAGTTTGGTAGTTATGTTCCAACAAAGAATAGTGTAATGTGGCTTCTCTCCATCACATGAGTGTAGCCTCTACTGATTATAATTTTACTCTTAGGGGTATAAATGCTTGGTGTGGCTTAGAGAATGCTGCCCTGAATTCTTTCACACGAGTACTTTTTCCTGCCTGCAGGTAGAAGAGGAAGAGCGGTCCTGAAGGATCTGAAATTGGTCAGTGAGAAGATCGGATCGCTTGGGCTAGGTAACTAACTGGCTTTCAGTTTAGTGTGTTGTTGAAATCATCTTCCAGGTCTACATGGAGAGTCTTCCTGGTGTCACCAGCAGGTGTTGGGGAGTTAGCATGTGTCTGGAGTTGGCCCTGTGTGTGTGTGTGTGTGTGTGTGTGTGTGTGTGTGTGTGTGTGTCATGTCTGCATACACATAAGTACAGTATCTGGCTCAGGGGCATCTCCAATGCTAGTTTCCTTCCCCATTTGTAGCCATCTGCAGAAGAACAGGCGTTCCCTGGGTTGCTGGGGGCTTGTTCCACGCAGTGCCCTGGAATCTTGCTACCTGCCACTGCACCAGCCAGGTGTGGTTGACTGGAGAAGTTGTTGGCACCTTGCTGTTATGTGTCTTATTGGTCTGTTTTTGTGGTCATGAGGGTAGAGCCAGGGTTCATGAATATGCTAATAATATGCTAATAAGAAAGTGCTGTGCCACTGAGCTCCACCCCAGCGGGCTTCACTAGGTCACAGGGACCACCACTGCCCGTGACTGCCCCATGAAAGCCTCCTGAACCTGGAACACAGACAGGGTGTTTACTTTTACCATGTGGTTGAATCACTTGAGCAGCTATAGTAATTTCCTTCCTTTTATGCAGTAAAATGCTGAGGAAGAGATGGCCCGGTGATCAGGAGTATGTGTCGCTTTTCTAGAGGACCCAGGTTCATTTCACAGCACCCACGTGCTGGTTCACCACCATCTGTAACTCTGCTTCCAAGGACCCCAAGACTCTTTTCTTTGGCCACCGGGCACACACATGATACATATACATACTATACATGCAGGCAAAATTTTCATACATATAAAAATCAATCTCAAAAAATTTTAAATACTCTTTTGGTACTTATGTCTTCATGATGTAATATTCAGCAATGTATTCTTTTGGCAGGAAACACACTTATTTAAAACAAGTACTTTTCTGTAAGCATGTAATAACATATTTCTTTTCTTAAACTCATTACCAGGAACTGGAGAAGATGAAGACTATATTGATGATTTTAATAGGTAAGAAAAACCTTGAGGTGACTATGTAAATCTTTTAAATACTTTCTGAGTACAACAGGTCTGGCAAAATTACATTAGGATTTACTCTACCCTTGATTCTCTTGCTCATGCTGACTGAAAGAACAGACAGGTGGTTCAACCACGAATGTGTTTTAGAGTGGGAACTCTAATGAGGGTGCAGACGATTATGCGTGTAGTATTGGGAGAGTTGGGGATAATAGGATAAAGAAATGACATTGAGGGTTGACCTGTCCTTTGGAACCAAGTCAGTAGCTTATCCTGGTTTTTCTTGTGCCCTTTGTCTTTGTGGTGGGCATTGTCTGTGTTTGGCTTTAAACAAAACAGCTTCTTCAACATGACATTACTTAACATTTTGTTGGAGGTAAGTTGTATGAATTGCCTACTAATATGAAGGTAATTTTGTTATAGATGTGATTAGAAAATTTAAATTACATACCTCAGAATTCTGACAGTGTCTTGATTAGAAATGTCTGTCTATTTATTACAGTAATTTATGGTACTGTATTTTAGAGCTAAGAATAGCGTGTGATGAGTGACAGTGGAGAAATGCAGGTTTTCTGTGTGATGACCCTGTAAGTTTCCCTAGATGACATGTAAGAAATTGATGTTTAATGTTGCGTGTTACTTGCCACATTTAACTAGGGCTAAAAATCTCTGGAAACTGGTGGTTTACTCTAGACTCCTCTTCATTTTCCCTCTCTGCATAATGCTAGCCATCGCTCAGAAAAAAGCGAGTTGAGTATTGGCGAAGAAATTGAAGAAGATCTTTCCGTGGGCGTAGACGATGTCAACACCAGTGATAAAGTAAGGTGCTAGCACAGTCTGTGGCTGTCTCTGTCCGTTTGTTGATTTTCTGTGAGGCTTTGTACACTTATATGACTAGTAAAAAAAAAAAAAAAATGTTTGAAAATTGGTAAAAGTTGGTGACAGTCCCCTGTGCTAAGCCTGAAGCAAATGTTGAAGGGCATGTGACTCACAGCTGTCATTATTTGGTATTTGTACTCTGGCAGGCCTGGGTTAAGGGCGGCATCAAACTTGTCTCACTTGGATTTAAAAGTGAGGTTGCGTCTGTGGGGCATCTGGTCATCTCAGGCTAGCCAAGGTCAGGCTGGGACAGAGCTGCGGAGGCAGGGTAGCAAAAGGCTTGAGGTCCACATCGGCGCTTTCGTGAAGTAGAGGAGAGCTGTGGCATCTCTGTTGTTCACAGCCTGGCAGGTCTGATGCCGGCCAGATGAGGTGGGTGTAGGGTGTGTTCAGATTATCACAAGAAGAGGGAACCCTCGAGAGAGGTTGTATTTTAAAACGACTAAGAAGAATTTGGGTTGTGTCGTTTTTTAGTGTGTTCTCTGGTTTGGATTTTTTGAGCTAGGACCCTGGTTTAAGTTCCAGGCTGGCCTTGAACTTGGCATGTAGCCCAGGAAGGCCTCAAACTTGAACCAAATCTCCTGCGTCCACCTTGTGGTGCTCGGTGTCTTGGGTAAGCCTGAGGCTCTCCTCTCGGTCTCTTTTGTGTGTTTTCTGTTGGTGTTTGCTTTGTTTTGTTTTTTGAGATAGGGTCTCTGTCTGTTGTGGAACTCACTCTGTAGACCAGGCTGGCCTCAGACTCACCAGCCTCTGCCTCACGAGTGCTGGAATTAATGGCATGCCCGCTACTATGCCCAGCTTCATCTCAGTTTCTTTTAAGGTGAAAATATTGATACTTAAATGACAATAGGTGATAAATCATATCTAATTGCTGTCCCAGTATATAAGCAAATATCCACTGTTCCTCATCAGTGAGAGGCAGTGAGCGCTCTTATCAAAGACTACTACGGACTGTTTAGCATTTGTGATGAAATTCATATTGGAGGTCCACTGGTAACTCAGCTTCTCGGTGATATCACGGATTTCAGAACAGACGAAGGGGTAAGCAGTGAGCACTTTTGTAGCGAGCACGAGGCCTTGGGATTGATTCCCAGCAGTAGGTAGCACCAACTGAGAGGGGAAGGGAGAGAGGAAATGAGGGTTCTGAACAACTACTGTTTTTCAAATTTTCACAGCATTCAGCATTTTCTGTGCTTTTATTTAACCCAGTGCAGGAGATCCTAGCCAAAGCAATCAGGCAAGAGAAAGAGTAAGTACCCAGATAGGAAGGAAGAAACCAAATTGACATTGTTTCAGCTGGCTTTATTGTAACACATGTAAAATACGAAGGAGTCCGCCTTAGAGCTATTAGAATTGATAGCAGACTGAGCACAGCTACAAAATCATAGAGTCAGCAGCATTGTCTGCATTAAAGCACAAAGCACAGTCCTGCTTGCTGTGGTCTTCCCTTGCTTTCAGTCAAGAAACTACAATCCCCTCGGCTAACTGTAGGCGGCCGAGGGTCACTTTCTATCCATAGTTTCTCTTCATTCTAGTCTAAAGTTAGCATTAATACAGAATTCAGTTGTCTTGCAAATAAAATGCAATGCCTTAATGAGTTCATTATTTATTAGTGGAGAGAAACAAAGTGTCAGTGTTACCTACTTCTCAGGATGTGGGCTTTTCTGAGTTTTGTTTTTAAAAATGCAGTGACTTGGGCCGGGCAGTGGTGGCGCACACCTTTAATCCCAGCACTTGGGAGGCAGAGGCAGGCGGATCTCTGTGAGTTTGAGGGCAGCCTGGTCTACAGAGCGAGTTCCTGGACAGCCAGGGCTACACAGAGAAACCTGTCTCAAAAAACAAAACAAACCAAAAAGGTCAAAGGGGACAAAACGAACTGGGGAAAGAAAACCAGCTTTCAAAAAAAAAAAAAAAAAAAAAAGAAAAGAAAAAGAAAATGTAATGGCTTAAGGTTCCCGATTACAGATTTCCTGATGGTTGTATGCCAAAATTAATGTTTGAACAAGAGGGAGGGAGAAAATGAGGGAGATTTATTTAAAATGATTTCATTTCTGACATTTCCAAAGAATAACAAATGAGACGCTGTGAAGAGCCAAGTGCTCAGACCTAGGGGAGTGTGTCGCCCGTCTGGAGAGGCCCCTGTTGGCCATCTCAGCAGGTGGCAGGAGATAAATCGGTTATAAAATAGCAATGTGCTTTACAGATTGAGTCTGACTGTGTTGTAGACTGATTCTTCTCTTTGTTTTGGACAATGAAGCTCGATGACCTCACACAAGACCTGACTGTTTCCCAGCTCAGCGATGTGGCCGATTATCTGGAAGACGTTGCATAGACAGGAAAAGGAAGTATTCTGACCAACAGAAGAGAAGGAACGGACTTGTCGGCTCCGTGGTCCCCAGTCAGTCACTCTTGCTGGAATGTGTGCCCCTGCTGGTGCCTTGCATTTCAAAGACTGCAGATATTTTTAAACGTTAGCTTTTCAGTTTAGTAAACAAAATACTTCCTATGTGAGCCCATGTCTAGGAAGTTAATATTCTTAATTTGGTTTAGCTGTACATCGCCAGGGAGACTGTGCATTACAGCAAGGGAACCCCTGAAGTAACAGGTGTTAAAAACAGCAGAAAGCGGGATCAGGACAGCCGTAGTTTGTGTCACTGTTTCTCTGGCTGCTGCTGAGATCTCTTAGACCTTACGTTAGCCACAGAAAGCTAACCCACTTAATGTCCGTTAGGTGAGTTAGCCCCAAGTTGGTGACCTGATCTGATAAATCTGTGATGCTGACGTGTGTCAGTCAGTACGAGCTAAATTGGGTAATTGGGTGTCTGAACTTGATGTTGTATTTCCTTCCATTTGGAAGGTTTGTTAGACCATTAAGGTTATATTATAAGTACTCTGTGCTATTAGTTTTGCTTGTTTTAAACTAGAAGTGGTTAGGACTCTTCATTCATAGACTTGTCAGTAACAGTTAAGGTTTAAGGTCACATTTCTTCCTGCTGTCTGTAAGCAGCTGTAGACACAGATTACTTCATTGCAGTCTTAATTTATTTCTCAAGATGCCGTGAAACATTCAGTACCAAAATGCATCTGAAACCGTTAAGCAGTGCTTTTATTTCAGATCTGTAAGTTGATTATATTTAAATCCAAATTGGAATGAAATAGTAGTAATGGCCTAAGACCATGTATATTCAGTTTGACAAACTTTGTATACTGTACATAACTGCATTGTAGTCCTTTAAAAATAGAGCCAATATTGGAATTTCTGGCAAATTTGGATCATGTTGTTGTTGAGCCCCAGAGGTATAGGCCGTTGGCGTCTGTAATGCTGAAGTATTTAAATGTGTGAGGAGGAAACTCAGTCCTACGCATGCATAGTCATCCCGCAGCTAAGTCAAATTTAGGAGCTGTGAAACTTTGATACATTTTATTTCCACTGTGACTGTTAAAAGTTACCTTTATTAATAAAAAAAAAAAAGGGAAATTAGAAAAATTGTCCATCCATGTTGAATAAGTGAGCAGAGGCTGTGGTTTTTGTCAATGCCACTTTCCATTCCAGAATTGCTAAGTAGAGCAAGTGACATTTATCAGGCTGCCAGTGCAGAGGAAATGAAAACGAGTGAAGATTCCGACAGTGGAGTCTGGCTTTTTAAACCCTGAGTGACAGTGAACTATAAACGCCGAGAGGAAGTAGGCACAGGAAATGGGCCGTGCGGCCTGGAGCCCCTGGGTGTTTCTGTCCTCCGTCTGCCTGACATGGTGCTGTCTGTGTTTCCTGTTTGCTCTTAGAAACAGTGCTGTATGAAGACACTGTCTGCTTGTTAGAAACTGCATTGCCCTGGGTCGTCTCTCCACGGCTCTGTGAAAGCGCTGGAGCTCGTGGACCCCTGGAGTCCAGAGCAGACGAGATTTGATAGTCGGTGGGCACTACCTATGAGTGGACTGGCCTGCGAGCAAGGCAGGATGTGGCTTTCCAATGGTCAGATGTGAAATCTGTCACTTTCTATAACCCAGTGACTGACCTTTTGCTCATTCTTGAGAAGGTGGAGGAAAAAGGCCAAGCTGCTACTTTGTGGTCAGCACTACATAAGGTATTGAATAATTCTGTACAACGTGAAATTCAACAAGCAGGAAGCTGCTTCCAAGTATCCCTTGCTTAGGTATTGTGAACCTGTTAAACTTGAGCAGGTTCTGCATATAATAATGTCTCTTTTGTTTAAAGTGGATTAAAATGCTGGCCTGCATTTTACAGTGGTTTTGTTTGGTTTGGTTTTGACGCTAACAGGACTTTGATTTTGTAGCGTGCTTTGATGAGCAGCTTTCCTGCCCTCTTACCCGCCGCAGCAGTGGTACCGTGATTGACAAGGCACGTATTACATATTACTCCCGCCTCCCTCTCACCTCGTCCGCCCCAGGCCGCCCTCTGTCCACTCTCCTGGGGCTGAGCACTGCAGGCCGTGCAGCCTGTGCAGCCTCAGCTGCTCAGGGTGCTGTATTCGCCTCCCCTTGTCTGAAAAGGCTTCCCTGCAGCCACACAAGGCTGATTATCGGAGCAGCCTGAGTCCTAGACTGGCCGCCCCTCTCTACATCGGTGTTTTTCCTTGTGTTCTATTTATCTCACTGTTATGAGAGATATAAGCAACGCCATTCACTCTGGGTAGGATACCAACAACAGACCAAAGAAACACTTCAGGTCCTGTAGCCCATACCAGCACACATGACTGCTTACATCAGCATGCTTGGAGCTTCCCAGTCAGCTTGAAGGAGCTCTGCTGGAGTCTTCTCCTGGCAGCTGGACTGCATGCATGTCTAACCTTGGAGAGGGGAGTGGCACACCAGCTTTGTAGCTTTCTAAACTCCCGAGTCTACACAAGTTTTCTTAGCCTTGTCCTAGAGAAGGGAGTGTTTGGATTGGGAGGTCTCCAGAGTGCTCCCTGTCCGTCCCGAGTGCTCCCTGTCCGTGTGTGTCGTCTGGATGCTCCAGAAGAGCAGGAACTTTTCTAAAAAGTAGTTTCCCTAGTAATAGGGCAGGTTCGGGAGAGCAGAAGCCGCTCTCCTGGAGGGAGGTGCCCAGCGCCAGCTCTAGGCCCTGGACTAGGAGGTGGTCCCCATGGTTCTCTGCCTGTGTGCATTAACACGGCGCGCTGCTAGACCCCCGTTGTAGGAAGGTACTAGGGGGGAGATAACGTCCAGAGGATGTTTTAGCCTAAGCAGATGAAGTCAAACCTATCAAGCTGGTTAGATTGGAGATGACATTTTTTTCTACCCTAAAACACATTACTGTGAAAGAAGAATGAACTAAAAATGTTTTCCTTTAGTTTTATTTTATTCTTGTGGGTGTCTTGCCTGCATGCATATCTGTACCAAATGTGTATAGTGGCCACAGAAGCCAAAAGGTGGCATTGGATCCCCTGATCTAAAGTTAATGATGGCTATGAGCCATCATGTAGGTACTGGGACTTGAACCCAGGTCCTCAGGAAGAGCTCTTAACTGCTAAGCCATCTGGCCAGGCCTATGGGTTTTTGTTGTTGTTTGTTTGTTTGTTTTCTTCTGCATGGGTTCCCGCCATGTTGCCTGGGGTGTTTGGGGCTTCGGATGTGTACCAGTGTGGCTGGCTGACTCTCAAGTGAATTTGGATTTTAAATTGTTGGGCTAGGATTAAGGGCTGGAAGGTAGATGGACAAGACATATCCTGACCTTACTTGTGAATTTACAGGTTAATCCAAACAATTCTCTTTACAAAAAGGCCCAAGATGACACAAACAGTTGGAAAACTTGGACAGAGGTCCATGTCCCCACCCACTGAGGTGGAGAACAGATGTCCCCCCGGGTAGGATCCTGCAAAGGAGGCCATGGTTCCCAAGAAGATCTGTACTTATACCATGCCAGTGAGGTCGGCATCATCAGAAGTTTCACCGTAGTCCTACCGGGCAAATCTACTGCCAAAGGCAGTGCCTTCCTTCCAAGGGCCCCAGACAGCTTCTAGAAGGTTGTGCTATCCGTGTCCACCTGTCTTTACAGCAGCTGTATGGATTGAGGTTTATTTCTGTAGACCTGCCCCTCTTCCTAAGAAACAGGAGCCAGGAAGGGGAAGGTCCTTGTAGCCAGCTGAGTCCGTGCTATTATGAGGGTGAATGGACAAGGGCACCCAAGATAATCTCAGTCTCTGGCATCTCCGTTGGGAGCTTGGTTTGGACTCTTACAAACTCAGTGAGTTTCCTGTTCAACTTTTCAGAGCCTCCTCAATGAAGCCTCTGTGTTGCACACATTTTATGTGGCGGAGGGGGCTCCGTTGACATTTTAACTGTTGCTGTTGGTGATGAAGGCCCTACTGATGCAAGGTTATGAGTAGGAAAGACCTTTCTAGGCACAGCCATTCTTGACTCAAAGACCTAGGGTGCCAGACGGACATAGTCAACAAAGATGGCTCAGGGACAGTAGTAGCTCACAGGTCCATTATCTCTGCTGCTAAAAACTAAAGACACACACAGGCACTTGTGAGCATATTCAACGTGGAGGCAAGCTTTACCGACGAGAATTACAGGAGAAAGTAAAAAGTGAGAGAAACTCCAGGGTGGGAGGGATTTCCAAGAGGAAAGAGCTTTTATAGGACCTTGGCAGAAACTGGGTAAAAGCTGAGGTAATTACTGTGAGACTGGGCCATTATGGGCCATGCTAGTAGAGGTCACACGTGCTTCGTGTACGCCCCCCCCCCCCCCCCCGTCCCAACAGAGCACGGTCATGTACTTGTGCCTGCCTCAGTGGGGACCTGAGCTCCCAGGGTTCACCTCTGTGGACAATGAGACCTCCCCTCCCGCCCCCATTTTGCCAGCCAACCCTGTCTCCGGGAGGACAGCCTTCTCTTGCTCCGAACAAGGCTCCCACACTTCCCAGAGTTTGTACCCTGGCATGTGTCATGCAACTTACTGTGGTTTCTCACGAATGGCCCGGGGTTTTTTCACTTATGTTTCAAGTATTTAGGGAAGAAAACTTTCATAGCTGTCTGTGAGCATTTAAGGGATCATGATGGGCCCTTCACCGTGACAGTCTAGAGGAAGCAGAAGCTGCTTCCTCTGCACAGCTCCCCAGCAGCAGCAGGAGAGAGGGGGCTGCCAGAGATGGTCTCTGCCCTCCACCTCTCAGTGCATCCGCCCACTGATGGCTAGTGACGTTTGAGATGCAATTCTCGCAAAGCTGGAGGATTAGTGTTTTCTTTGTTCTCTGTTATCTGTCTTTGGGGGAAACATCTGTTACATAACAAAGATGAGTAATGGCAAAAGAAGGTCCGGATGGTTTCCCTGACACATTACCCTAAAACCACTGCTTCTGTGGTGGTCTTTTATGCGCATGCGTGTTCACGTGTGAGTGTTGGGGCATTCATGCCAGGGCACGCTTGTAGAGGTCAGAGGACATCCTCAGATACTGGTCTTCACCTGCCACGTGGCTTGAGACAGTCTCCTGTTCACCGTTGTGTGTAGTAGGGTAGTTGACTGACCCTCATGTTTCTGTGTACCCTGTCTGCACCTCAAACCTCACTGTAGGACACGGATTACAGGTGGGCACTGGGGAGTCCTCGCACTTCGGAGGGAAGCACTTCATCCACTGAATTTATCCATTGAATCTTTCTTTAAGTAGACAATGATGTGTTACTTTTTTTTTTTTAAACCCTGCATTTGTTTAACTATGTAAAGATGTGTTGCATTTGCGTTAAGTAAATTGACCTGAGCTCAGAGAGGCGGGGGTTAGCAGCTGGTTGATAGGAAGTAGAGGGGAGGAGGGTAGCCTGGGTTTTTTAGTTGGGGCGGTGTGGAGAGAGAGAGAAATTTAGCCAGTTGCTAGTCTAGCTGGCTGAGCTGGCTCTTTTCACAGTCAGTGTATCCATCTCCAGACTGGGCCTTAAATATTAATCAAAATAGATGTCAGAGTGAAGCTTGGGTCAAATAGTTAATCAGCCTGTATTTGTAAGTATGTGTCCTGAGTGAGACAGCACATACAAATGACAAGTGACAGCTTACTCAGGGAGCGTAGGACGTGCCCCTGCCTGTGGTCACACAGCGTCTGGGTCCTACTGTTCGCTTCACAGCCTGTGTGGTAGGGTGAGACCCCCCCATCTCTTCCTCAGAGCTGTGGCAACCCTCGCTCTCGGGGGTCGGGAAAGTGCCCCTCTCCTCCCCACAATGTGACTTCTCCCTAAATGGCTGCGTGGACTCCAGGACTTTGGAAATGACTAGCTAGTGCTGTGCAGATCTGTTCTCGGGCCTCAACCAGGGCCGTGGGCCGCAGGCTGCCAGGCCATGCAAGGCTTGGTGAGGGACGCCAGTGGACCTTACGGCTCACCAAGGGAACATACCAAAGAAGCCATCTACCCCTGATCCTCAGGATGAGACGAGAAATCAGCCTGGCCTCCAAGGTCTGGGAAAGCTGTGCTCAGAATCAGTGAAGGAAGAACTAAATGTCTCAAAAGCTCACCTTGAAAGAGTATTCAAAAACACCTTCATGGTGTTGTTTGTTCTGTGGTGTCTCAGCGAGATCACACGAAATGCCCCACAGTGAGGGCAAAAGGAACTAGGTCACCCACCCTGCCCTGCCGCTGGGGTTCTGGGGTGGCTTATCAAAAGGGATTTTTCACTTCTTTGAAAAAAGAAAAACAAAAATCACCATGGGCTTACAAAAATATTTGGCAGTGAGCCCTAAGAAACACTAGCTACTTTACAAATCACACACACACACACACACACACACACACACACACGTGAATTGGGGGCTCTGAACGATTGGAGGAATGAACTTTTCTAGGCTAAGGCTAGAGCTTTGTGGTGAAACACTTGCCTGACAAGGTCCTGGGTCCAACCCCTAGTCCACCAAAATAAGTAAGTATGCAAATGAAAACACCGACCTGTAGATGGAAATTGTGTTTGATTGAGCAGTTTTGTATGACCAGGTAAGTACTCATCTAGTTCACTGTACTCCAGTTCCCGATCCAATCTATCCAGTCTACCCAAAATGACAGGTTCCAGATGTAAGGAGAGCTTCTATCTCAAAAAGCAAGCCGGAACGGGGGTTAGATGGGCTCAGCAGGTAAAAGCCTACTGGCCTCAGTTTGGAAGGGGACCAAACGCTGTCCTCTGACCCCACCTGTGTCCGTGCATTCACGTACTCTCCCCCTCCCATACCTACACAACCACACGCGCAGATAACAAACAAGAAAGCACTCACACATGGGTGTACACAGGCACAGAAATA